GCAAGCGTAATAAAATACCTCTTCAACTAGGCTCAATATCATCCAAATACAAATCAATTCTAGCAATGCAACTATCAAAATCAAAGCTGGAAACCAGTTTTAAAGACGAATGGCTAAGTAACAGGTTTGACATCTTCCGGCATTTTGGTCACAGCTGAAGCTACACTTATCAAATTGGGATAAATTTTATGGCGTTTCGAAACTAAGATAGAGACCTACATTTTCTATGAAGACATTGACACCCAGTTCATGCATTTTCAAGGTCAAAATGTGAAATTTCAGAGAAAACAAAAGCTGCCCGGAAAATAGGGCATTTGGTAGTTAGGGGTATTGTAGTCATTTCACACACTACAGTCCTCTGATTGAGGTGAAATTTTACAGACAGATAGTTAACTCCATTCCTTACAACTTTCATGTTTTGATCTAAACCTGATTCGACCTCTAACATGGACGAATATGCAGGTTGGAAACAGGGCAAATTCATCATTAATGCTGGAAATTTGATGATTCAATACTTAAAAATAACATTCATGTCTTAAATCACTACCCCAAATCTCTATCCAAGCTTATCAACATCATATACTAGATAAACAACAATAATCATAACTGAAAGTTTCAAACCCTAGCTAAACATTCCACCATATCATTCAAAACTAACTAATTAACCATCATAAGCCAAGAATACAAGCTTCTATCCAAATTTAAACAAGATTAAGGAAGAGAAAAGGAAAGGCAATCATGATACCTTCCAATAACTGCTTGTAAGTGAAAACCACACCCCTGTCTTCCAAAACTTTTGCCACACAAAGCTTCCTAAGCACCAAGGTAAAGGTTTAATCGGTTTAGATTTTGAGATTCAACTCAAACAAGGCTAAATCAAGATGTAATTGGAGGTTTCTTCCCTCTTGTTTTCCTCTCCCAAAATTTCGGCCAAGCCAAGCTAGAAATAAAAAAAAAAATTAGCCAACAAGAGAGATAAGAAGAAAGAAATGGTCTTGGCCAACAACTTTTGGATCTTTGACACTTGTCGAAGCCAAGTTTTCTCTCTTTTTTTTTCTTTTCTTTCTTTTTCCTAAGTCAATAATGGTGGCTGACTTAAGGGTTAATTTAGGGTTAATTAGCTGAAATAAAAATAAGGATATTAAGGCAATAAAATAGTGTTCAAGTGATGTACTCACTCAGTAGCAAACAGTGCGCGACGGTTCAAGCTGATTTTCCTTAACTCGCGTGTACTAGGGTTTTAACCTATGATTCACTAACTTATTATTATCACTTCTGATCACACATTTTTTTTAATCTAAAACTCACTTTTAACCACCAAATTTAGTACACACATCTCACCAAGTGATCACACGGCCAAAATACGCAAAAATCCTAATTTACCCGAACTATAAAACTAAAGGTAAAATTCTTGATTCTCTTATATATTACAACTAATGAGGAAGTAAAGTAGTAGTAAAAGAATTATAAAATAGTTTATTCAAAATAAGATGGAATTATAAGAAAATATGAGCAATTTTTCAAGTCGCCATACTTTCTTCTTCTTACACAAAAATTCGGGGTGTCATATGATGTGCACTTATTAACCTACAAATGCAATATATTGAAATTTTAAACATACAATAACCTATCTAAGAGAGTAGGTTCTAAAAGAGTATCATGCAAGAATTCTTATTTTCTAGTGTTTGTGAATGCAAAAGACGAGAAAACAAGGAAACGTTAGTTCAACAAATAACACATAACACGTTGGGTAATTAGATGATACAAAAAGTGAAAAGAAAATTAAGTAAAGAGGGGTGGAATCCCTCCCTTCATGCCTAGTGTTCCTAGTTGAGTACGGTCGACTCTACCCTAGGTGATTACTAATATGGGTGCATGAGTTTTGGCTCACTAATGCATCTAGACTCGATAAGGTTTTAGACTCCCAAACCTTCAGACCAAAGGCGAAGGGTCATCAATCCCAATGCCTAAGAGTCGGTGGTTCGAGTGATCCTTCGGACATTGCTACGCACACGTTGTGCCACGGTCACATGTCCAAGTGGATCGATCTAATCCTAATAAGGGAAGAGTGGTATGACAACCACTAAAAGTAAAAAAAAGAAAAAGAAATGAGGGGTTATAAAGTAAAACGTATGCACGTATGAAGTGTTCTTTTTGAAGAGAGGGATCAAATACCATCAAATGAGGGTGAAGGTTCTAGGGTGGCTGTCCCCCTCCCCAATATGCAAGCGTGATACATAAACACAAGTGAATGAAAGAAAATAAACACATTATTTATCACATACATGAATATCGAGACGATTTGTACGTGTGAAATGAAAACCCTAAAAAGGAAAAAATGCAACCTAAAACCTCAAAATTTGATATATAAGAAGGTTAGAAAGAGAAAAGGATTGATTAAATCGAATGCTCGGATTCTCTAAATCCTCAATGGAGTCGCAAGCTGTCGCGTCCCATTTTTAAAAAGAAAAACAAATTAAATTTACGAGTTTAGAAAAATGAAGTTTAAAAGTGCGACGGTTTTGGTCCAGAATATAGTTTAAAAATGGATTTTAATAAGAAATAGAAGTCGTCACCTGGTATTGATTTAAGGTGTACCTAGTCACCTATAATGAATTTTGAATAAAAAAAGTAGGAAAACCCTTTTTACACGATTCAAAGTCTTCGAAAATCAGAGAAAAGTGTTTGGGAGTCACATTTGAAGAAAAGGAAGGCAAGGATAAAATCCAAACCATACCTACCCTCGTGGTTATGAAATTAACTACAATCTCATTTCTTCTATGAAATTACATGAAACAAGTCACTAAAATCACAAAGGTGATCCTCTACTCTCGTAAGTGAACTCTCTAGATTTATCACTTCTCCTTGAACTAGTGTTAAATTCTAATTCTCATTGCAAACTTAACACTTTTAGATAATCAAAACTGACGGCCGGTTAATCATAATTAGATAAGCAAAGTGATAAATAACTTGTTCAAAATAACATCAGCAAATAACCAAGTAAACATCACAAACAAGATATAGAAAGTTCATCCATAACTCTAGCCATAAACTTTAACTAAACATGATAAAAACACAAAACCAAACTTGTATTATAGTTAAATATGAAATCAAATACAAGAGAAAAAGTAGTAGAAGAGATATCACCCTTGTCACATGAGATCAACCTCTCCATCTTTGCTTCTCAATCTTCATCCAAATTTAGCTACAAATACAAGAAGGATAAACTACTCTACCTATACTAATGAACTAAGAAAAACTAGTGGAGACTACATTTTCTGTGAGTTTCTCTAGCCTTGTAAAGTTATCAAAATGGTCTTCAAAGGTTGTTATTTATGGAGGATTCAAGAGTCAAATGAGTTGTTTCTAGTTGTGTAAGGATCGAAGACAACCTAAGAGGGGGGGTGAATTAGGTTATCTAAAAATTAGCCAAGATATGAGTCACTTTTTCTAGAACTTGCTTTCTTTTTCTAAAGGACCTCACAAAGAAACAATTAATGGACTAGCACAAGTGATTGTGAGTAAAAGAAATAATCAATATATATATTGCAAGACAGTAAGTAAAGGGATAGAATGGCAGACCAAGATTCAAACTTGACTTAAGTTTGAATAACACTTTATATACCAAACTTTTTTAAGTTGATCAACTTACAACCAATCTCTTGTGTACAAAGGAAGGATCACTTCCTCCTTGCCTCAAGTCTCACTCGATCAAGCAAGGAAGTTTTACAATGACTCGGATAACCCTCACAAAGCTACACTATTGAAGAAACTGAATCACACTTGAAAAGCTAAATGAAAATTACACAATTAAGAGTACAAATCTTATTTTTGGAGTATTCTTATACTTGAATCACTCAAGATCTGATGTAGACTTAATGTGCAAAATTATTTTGAAGTAGTTGACTATTTTCTATTTATAGGAGACCAAAAAATTCTTCAATTAATGCTGTCAACGGATAGAAGGCAGATGAAGAGTCAACTAGCCGTTGGTGGTGTCGGACGTCCGGTACTCTGATTTTCTGCGTCCGAACGAAGACAGTGAGTTCAAGACATTTTCTTGAAATTCTTAGGACGTCCGGTCCTTTCACAATATACGTCCGAATGTAAGACGTAAACTTGCAAATCCTTTTTCATTTCTTTCGGACGTCCGGTGCTCTCAGTGTATTGCGTCCGAAGTACCGTAACGTTTGTCGGACGTCCGGTACTGAGGTATTGTGTGTCCGATCGAGGTCAGTGATCATAGAAGACTTGACTTATTATCTTCAGACGTCCGAGTGTGAGTTCTTCATGCTTTCGAAGCTACTCAATGGTTGTCGGCCGTCCGATATGGTCCTTTTGTGCATCCGACAGCTATTTCAGCAATTTGTCAAACTTTGATCCTGTTTTGGCTTCAAGCCTTTGACCTTGTTTTTGTTCCAATTTCTGAAACAATCTCTTCAAAGAATATTAGTAACATCCAATTGTTTTGTAATCATCAAAAGTTATGAACTGAGATATACAATCTCCCCCTTTTTGATGATGACAAAACATTGGATGGAGCAAAAAGAATTTAGAATTTTGATAGCAGCTCCCCCTTGCATAATGCAAGAGTATTCGTAACTCCTCCTCAAACCGACTCCCCATTACTTATAGATTCTATGTCAAGAGTATTCGCAACTCCCCCTCACTTATAAGTTCCATATCCATTTTCTCCCCCTTTTTGTCATCATAAGACAGCCAATAGGAATTATCAATCAGACGAGATATATCCAACAATATCACAGCAATAGTATCAGTATACATTCAGAATCAGCAAAATCCAAACAGGCAGTAATCAACAAAATGCCAACAAGAATCATTCACAGCAAAGGATAAAAACATCTATTCATAAAAGAAACATCATAAAAAAAATATCAGTTAACAGAATAGCATCAGTTTTACAGACCAATAGAGGAATATGATCCTTAATACATAGCATACTATTGTTCTAATGATGAAGTGCAGTGTCCTAGCAGTGCCTAGATGGTGATTTTAGACGATCCAGACTTTCTCCTGGTTAGACGAAACTGCTCAGGATCCACTTGGTCTTCTTCCTCAGTCTCTTCATGATCTTCTTCAGTTGCCTCCTCAGTTATAGGAGCCTTGCCTTTATCTTTGGGCTGAGAGCTGGAAGCATGTGCTTCTGGAGTGGCTTCAATACCAGGAGTATGCTCTGTGGGCTGAGGTGTTGGCTCTTTTTGATGAGCATTTTCATTGAATTCAGGGATTGGAGGCACAAGGAGATTTCTTTTTTTAATAAAATAGACTGTTGGGCAGGGGACATGGTCATCATGAGACCATCTTCAATGAGCAGAACATGCTGTTTGAGGTCCTCAAGCAAGGAGATGACCTCAGAATTGGAAGATTGTGACTTGCTGGCTGATTTTCTAGAGTGGATGGTGAATGGAGAGACATATATGAATTGATCACGAGAAGTCCTAGGAGAGACAGGGGTTTCGTGAAGGTTCTTTCTCCTAGTCTCTGCAACTGTCTCCTTATAATACCAATGACCCTAAAAAAATTTTAGATTCTTCCTTTCAAAATATGCTTGTGAGAAAATTGTTGAGGCACTGTTTTTGGGTGATTTTCCAGTAAAAGTGATTTTAAAATGGGCAAAGATAGTAGTCAGAAATTTTCTATAAGAGAGTTTCCTACGACTATCAGTGCTAATTTTGAGCAGAAATTTGCACATCACAAACCTAAAGTCAATTCTGATTTTTTCAACAAAACAGTAAAATAGATAAAGCTCCATTTTGTTCGCATCAGTTCTGTGCCCATCAGTGGGCACCAACAAATTTGAAATGATGGTAAAAGTGATCAAGTTCTGAGGGTTAAGATCTTCTAATCTTGCCTCAGCAGGAGTGTTGAAGTGCGATCGAAAATAGATCATGAATTTAACAACGTAAAAATGATGATAAGCAGAAGGATATTCCTCATATGAAAAGAAATTTGTAACTTTTCCTTTAAAACCATCTTCAATTCTTGTTTTCAGAATAGAGTTCACAATGTCAGGAGTTAACGTGATGTCTACAGAGTTGACCCTAGAGATGAGTTCTGTGTGTGAATTACCCTTTCTAAGATTTGCAAAGAATTGATGAAACATATCATGGTAAAAAGTATTGGGGATGGACAGAAGATGAATCCATTTTTGGAACTCAAAAAGTTTAATGATAGGTTCGAGGTCAAGCTTACGAAATTCAAAAGGAGAAATGGTCCTTTGAATGATGAATCCCTTTTGTGAGACCAACTCAAATCTGTCTCTGGCCTCATCATCAATGAATTTTGGCAGAGGAGTAGGTTCTTTGGTAGGCTGAGTCTCTGGTTCCTTTACAGAACGTTTCCTTTTTGCAGTTTGCTTGGCAGACGACTCAGTATTCTGAACCTCAGACCTTGTCCGTGGAGATTTTCTGGTAGATGGTTCAGGGGTGTGCTGATCCTCAGCATTTTTCTCTACATTAGATTGAGCAGTTCTTCTCTTTTGGGCAGATCTTTTTCTTCTCCCAGGAGATTTCGTGATAGCTACAGCTACTTCAGCATAGGTGGGCTTTTCCATTTCTACTGCATTCCTACTTACTGGATTTTCTTCAGAGTGATGCTCTCCCATCTACTCATCAGATGGCTCAACAGTTGGAGCATCTCGTTTCCTTTGAGCAGTTTGCTTCACCTTTCCACTTCGATTTTCAGTTTTCTTTTTGGATGCTTTGGTGGAGGGTTCTATAATTTTAATATCCTCATCCCTAAGTCTAAAAGAGCATCCGACCTCCACAGAACCACCTCTAAATCTAATCATGATGTAATGTAATTGGATGTTGATGTAGTGAGTGGTGCAGAGTGTATGAGATAGATGAAGAATGCAATATGAACTAATATTAATGCACGAACCAACCACAAGGAGTAAGTTTTGAGAGTTTAGGGCTTCGGATGCGAATTGGAAATTATGAGGCAGTTCGAAATTGGAAGAGGTTATTATGTCCAGATAACGGGCAATAGGAGTATAATGGTGTCGATTGAATCAATTTCTTGAAACTTGATTAGAGGAGAGAATAATTTGAAATTTGAATTTTGAGAGAAAACTGAAGGGTTGCATCCGAGACTAAGAAGGTAAATGAACTTAATGAGGTAGGTGACTTCCTTATATGAACCAATTTTTAAGTGTCGGACTGCTGGACAAAGTGACGCGTCCGACGCAACCGTCCGAACCCGAATTTTTCTGGAGAAGGGATGAAGAACATTGTCGGACGTCCGTTCTAATCCATCGGACGTCCGATAAAGAGTAACCAAAAAGAAACTTAGAGAATTTTTTCTGAAACGCCCAATTTTGTTCTCAGATACACAAATTGATCTAGTGGAAGGGCTTTGGTGAGGATATCAGCAATTTGATCTTTAGAACAAACATATTGAACACAAAATTCACCCTTGTGGATAAGATCGCGAATGAAGTGATGCTTAATGTCTATGTGCTTGGTCCTAGAATGTTGAATGAAATTTTTTGTCAAATTGATAGCACTAGTGTTGTCACAAAACATAGGCACACAATTATACACTAAACCAAAATCATTCAATGTGTTTTTCATCTACAACAATTGAGCACAGCAAGCACCAGCAGCAACATATTCTGTTTCGGTTGTAGACAATGAAATAGCATTTTGTTTTTTGCTGAACCAAGATACTAAGCAATTTTCAAGGAAGTTACATATACTAGTTGTACTTTTTTTATCTACTCTACAGCCACCAAAATCAGCATCAGAGAATACACAAGGAAAGTTCATGACACTTAGGATACCAAAGGTCAAAATTCAAAATTCCTTTTAAATATCTAAAGATTCTTTTTACCGCATTTAAATGTGATTCCTTTGGACAAAACTGAAAACGAGCACACAAGCACACAACAAACATGATATCAGGCCTACTAGCTGTTAAGTAAAGTAAACTACCAATCATACCTCTATACTTCTTTTCATCAACTTTTGTACATTTTTCATCTTTGTCAAACTTGGTAGATGTGCACATGGGTGTTCCAACTTACTTTGAGTCCTCCATTTCAAATCTTTTTAGCAGTTCCTTGGTGTATTTGATTTGATTGATGAATGTTCCATCTTGGGTTTGTGTCACTTGGAGTCCAAGGAAGAAATTTAATTTTCCCATCATGCTCATTTCAAACTCTTTTTGCATGATTTTGGAAAAGTCCTTGCACAAACTCTCATTAGTAGTACCAAATATAATATCATCCACCTATATTTGTACAATTAGAAGATCACGTGAACTTTATTTAGTGAAAAGAGTAGTGTCCACTATACCTCTTTTGAAGCCATTTTCAATTAAAAAATCACTCAAACGTTCATACCATGCTCTTGGAACTTGTTTTAATCTATATAAAACTTTTGAGAGTTTAAAAATATGATTTGGATAAATTTCATTTTCAAAACCAGAAGGTTGATCAACATAAATTTCTTGATCTATAAAATCATTTAAAAAAGCACTTTTAACATCCATTTGAAATAATTTAAAATTCTTGAAACATGCAAAAGTCAAAAACATTCTAATTGATTCTAACCTAGTTATTGATGCAAATGATTCATCAAAATCTATTCTTTCTTCTTGAGTATATCCCTTAGCTACCAATCTGGTCTTATTTCTAACTACCTCACCTTTGTCATTCATCTTGTTTCTAAATACCCACTTAGTGCCAATGATAGGATGATCTTGTGGTCTAGCTACTAATGTCCAAACCTTGTTTCTTTCAAATTGATTTAACTCTTCTTCCATGGTTAAAATCCAGTTCTCATCTTTCAATGCATCAACAACATTTTTGGTCTCAAAATGTGAGACCAATGCAAAATTATCTATTAGTTGTCCAGAAGAGGAACGTGTTCTGACCTTTTCGGATGGATCACCAATAATAAGTTCCTTAGGATGGTTTTGAACAAATTTCCAGACTCTTGAAAGATCATTAGGAATGGTAGTGTCTCTGTCATTGTCTTCCCTAGCTGGACTGTCTTGATTTTCACCTTCCTTTGAAACATTTTCTGATGAAACTGTGCCTTGGTTACAGATTGTTAGTTTTTTCAACTCTTTTTGAACACCTGCATCATCATCTTCACCACAACTCATGGAAATGTCACCATTAGATTCATCGAAAGTAATATGTATAGCTTCCTCTATAACCAGAGTTCTATGATTATAAACTCTAAAGCCTCTCTTATTTTCACAGTATCCCAAGAAGATCCCCTCATTAGATTTTATATCAAACTTACCAAGATGCTCCTTGATGTTTAGAATGAAGCATTTGCAACCAAACACTTTAAAATAACCAACAACAGGCTTTTTATCAAATAACAGCTCATACGAAGTTTTGTTCAAGATTGGTCTTAAAAGAACTCTATTTATGGTATAGCAGGCAGTGTTTATAGTTTCAGCCCAAAAGTATTTTGGTAAATTGCATTCACTAAGCATGGTTCTAGCAGCCTCTTGAAGAGTTCTATTTTTCCTTTCAACCACTCCATTTTGCTGGGGAACTCTAGCAATAGAAAACTCATGTGTAATGTCATTGTTGTCACAAAATTCTGGAAAATCACAGAAATGAAATTCTGTGCTGTTGTCACTTCTAATTTTTATGATTTTCAAACCAATCAGATTCTGAACCTTAGCAAACAGTGAAACAAAGTTTTTGAAAGCATCATCTTTATGTGTAAGAAGCATCACTCAAGTGTATCTAGAATAGTCATCAACAACAATAAAACAAAATTTTTTGCCACCTAGGCTTGTGGTTTGAGTATGACCAAAAAGATTAAGATGTAAGAGTTCTAAGGGCTTTATAGTAGAAACACATTTCTTGGGTTTGAAAGATACCTTGACTTGTTTTCCAAATTGGCAAGCATCACAGATACGGTCTTTACTAAAGTTGAGTTTTGGAAGCCTTCTAACCAGTTCCTTTTTGGAAATCTCTTTTAGCAAATTCATATTGAAATGACAAAGCCTTCTGTGCCATAACCAGGGATCCTCATTTGCTACTTTGAGACAACTAAGGCTTGAAGAATCAACTTTTTCAAGAATAACTACATAAATGTCATTAACTCTTTTTCCTTTGAAAACAATATTGAACTTTGAGTCAAGAACAAGGCATTCATGTTTTTTAAATAACACAACTAGGTTCCTATCACATAATTGGCTAACATTTAGCAAGTTATAACTCAGGTTGTCAACTAAAAGGACATTATGAACAAAAATTTGACCATTCTTACCAATATCACCAATTCCAACAGTTTTAGCTTTATTATCATCTCCAAAAGTTACCTTTCCACTTGTTTTTGGCTTGAGCTTGATGAACTGTGATGCATCACTGGTCATATGTTTTGAGCATCCACTATCTATGAACCATTTTGATTTTTTAACAATGTTTATCAAGTTCACCTCTTCATCACCAATAGCCATGAAGGCCACTTGGGCAGATTCCTCTTCTTCTTCGACTTTTTCTTCTGAATTGCAGTCATTCCAGGTGATCTGAAAATTGTTGAACCTTGATTTTCGTTCAACCTTGCTCTCCTTCTTCCTTTTTATTGGACACTCATTTGCATAATGTCCAGGTTGGCAGCATTCAAAGCACTTATCAGTTTGCTTTTTGTTAAACTCTAGTTTCCCTTTATTTCTCAAGTTGTTGGACTGATTCGGGAAGGAATTGCTCGGACCACCTTTTCTGAATCTCCTCTTGTTGAGTATTCTTTTGAAGCCTCTTGTGATGAGTGCGATGTCACTGTCATCACCTTCCATGTCTTCTCTATCCAGGAAGGCTGTATCATTTTCATCTTGTGAAACTTTTAAAGCAATACTCCTCCTTATCTTGGTGTCTTCTTCTTCCTGCACCTTAGATTTGAGTTTCAGCTCATAAGTGGTTAAAGAGTTAATAAGAGATTCAATAGGTAGGATATTTAGATCTTTAGCTTCCTCTATGGCAGTCACTTTATTCTCCCAATCTTTTGATAAGGCATTCAGAATTTTTCTATTTTTCTCACCTAGAGAGTAGTTCTTTTCAAGCACTTCTAAATCCTTGATAAGATCATTGAATATGTAGTACATCTTGTCAATATTTTCATGAGATTCCATCATAAAGGATTCATACTTAGTGACCAGGATGGACTTCTTTTGTTCTCTCACATTCTCGCTTCCTTCATGGATTTCTCTAAGTTTATCCCAAATTTCTTTTGCAGATTTGTAGTCTTTGACTCTAATGGATTCATTTGAATCTAGAGTACTATATAAAACATTCATAACCTTGGCATTTAGAGTAAGATGAGTTCTATCTTCAGCAGTAACTCACTTCTTGTTTTTGGTCTCGGCCTATGAGTATTATCATCAATAATAGAAGCATAATATGGACCCTCATTAACAATAAATCATAACTCAATATCAATAGATTGTAAGAAAATGATCATCCTCTCCTTCCAACTCACATAGTTTGACCCATTGAACATTGGAGGTCTAGTGACAGATTGTCCCTTAAAGAACATGGTATTGTTGGTTGTCATTTTTACTCCTAAACCGATTGAGTTTAATCTCTAGGAGACCAACCTCTAATACCAATTGTAAGGATTGAAGACAACCTAAGAGGGGGGTGAATTAGGTTATCTAAAAACTAGCCAAGATATGAGTCACTTTTTCTAGAACTTGCTTTCTTTTTCTAAAAGACCTCACAAAGAAACAATTAATGGACTAGCACAAGTGATTGTGAGTAGAAGAAATAATCAATATATATATTGCAAGACAATAAGTAAAGGGATAGAATGGCAGACCAAGATTCAAACTTGACTTAAGTTTGAATAACACTTTATATACCAAGGTTCTTCAAGTTGATCAAATTACAACCAATCTCTTGTGTACAAAGGAAGGATCACTTCCTCCTTGCCTCAAGTCTCACTCGATCAAGCAAGAAAGTTTTACAATCACTCGGACAACCCTCACAAAATTACACTATTGAAGAAACTGAATCACACTTGAAAAGCTAAATGAAGATTACACAACTAAGAGTACAAATCTTCTTTTTAGAGTATTCTTACACTTGAATCACTCAAGATCTGATGTAGATTTAATGTGCAAAGTTATTTTAAAGTAGTTGACTATTTTCTATTTATAGGAGACCAAAAAATTCTTCAATTAATGCTGTCAACGGATAGAAGGCAGATGAAGAGTCAACTAGCCGTTGGTGGTGTCGGACGTCCGGTACTCTGATTTTCTGCATCCGAACGAAGACAGTAAGTTCAAGACATTTTCTTGAAATTCTTAGGACGTCCGGTCCTTCCACAATATACGTCCGAAGGTAAGATGTAAACTTGCAAATCCTTCTTCATTTCTTTCGGACGTCCGGTGCTCTCAGTGTATTGCGTCCGAAGTGCCACAACGTTTGTCGGACGTCCGGTACTAAGGTATTGTGTGTCCGATCGAGGTCGGTGATCATATAAGACTTGACTTATTATCTTCGGACGTCCGAGTGTGAGTTCTTCATGCGTCCGAAGCTACTCAATGGTTGTCGGTCGTCCGATATGGTCCTTTTGTGCGTCCGACAGCTATTTCAACAATTTGTCAAACTTTGATCCTATTTTGGCTTCAAGTCTTTGACCTTGTTTTTGTTCTAATTTCTGAAACAATGTCTTCAAAGAATATTAGTAACATCCAATTGTTTTGTAATCATCAAAAGTTATGGACTGAGATATACAAGTTGTCATTTTTTACTCTTGAAACTCTCATGAGTTGTCTTTCCAACTTTTCAACCTTTTCTTGATCAGATACAGCCGGAATTGATAGGTGGAATTGAGTTGTAAAATTTGTGTCAAAGCAGGGGAAGTTGATGAGCAAGTTACAGAAAACATAATAGAATACGCGACTTCAAGCCATGTATTCATGAAATCGTGTTTTCACTTCTGTGCATTTGGCACCACTTCAACTACTATTTTCTCAATGATGGAGGCCGAACTAGCTCTTGTGCAAAATATGAAAGTTGTAGCCATTTGAGTTAGATTTCTAATGCTTCAAGAATCATCCCATTTGGAGCTCTGTAGATTGAGGTGTCGTTTGGTTCGCACCTTGAAATCGGATTTGGATTTGGGATCATTCATTATACATTTGGAATGGAATTAGTCATTCAAATACATCTGTTTGGTTCAGTACCAGAAATGTATATCATTACTATAGTTGATGTTTAGTTCGTTGATACTTTCGAAATGGAATATAAGAAATTTTCACTAATTAAATGTGTTAATAAATTTAGTAAAACTAATTATTAAGTTCTATTAGTAAACATGTATAATTATTAGTATAATTGATATTATATTTCATATACTAATATACGTTATATAATAAATATAACTAATAATATCATTATTATAAGTTTGGAACTAATTAAATTAACTATTATACATCTAATTAAATATAATTATACAAATATTATAATATAAATATATAATTATAATGTATATTATATATTAAATATAATTATTAAATATTATTATATTTATAATAATAAATATAATTATAACTATATAATATATTATTATTATATACACATATATATTATAATTATATGCACATATAATACACATTTATAAATATATTTATAAATAATATACATATATTATTATATGATATTAATAAATATAATTATATTTAATTAAATAATTATAATATATATATATATAATATATTATATATATGTGTATATAATAATTATAAATATATTATATAATTACACTAATATTATAATAAAATATTATAATTATAATATATATAATTATATATGTGTATATAATTATATATTAATTTTTTAAACTGGTGGCGGGACGGGCTGCGTTTCTAAACGGAAATCAAACTTGGGTTTTGTCCAAAACACTACAGGTTACCAGGGAATTGGGAAACTCCAAATTTTTATATATGATTCCAAAATTTCAATTCTGATAGTAGTAATCCAAACAGCAATTATGAGGTTCATTCCAATTCTTCATTCCGAAACCCTCTTACGAAACAGCACTTGAGAAATGACTAAAATACCATCAACTAGTTAGAACTTTGTTTCAACTTTTGACAACAGAGTTGCACTTCCGTATTTCAACTTTTTGACAATGAAAATGACTGAATTGGACTTTGATGTTTTCAAACAAAATGTAGATATATCTCTTAGTTTCAAAATGATTTAAGAATCACCTCAATCCGATGCTTGTAGCTCAAGATATAGTCGAAAAAGCACAAAGTGTCAAAGCTGGAAAACTTTTCTTCTTTTGTTCTTAATTGCATTTTTCTCTCTTGCACTTCATATTCTCTTTTTATTATTTCAAACCATCATCAATCATCCAATTATCTTCTCAAATCATGCCATTTGATGATTGAATTCTTAAACCTACAAAAACATGAAGTTTTTATCATTAAAATCCATAGAAATGCAATTTTTACCACTTAAACTATAAAATGCATATTTTCACTAGAATCCTAGTTAATTAGTTATAAAACTAAATAAAACACACCAAAATTAACTAATAAAACACACTTAAAACACGTAAAATATATACTTATCATTCGCCTTGGGGAATGCTACTGTACCAAAGATATGTTTCATTATAAGATGGCATCTCAGAATAATGGAGTTAGACTTAACTATAACATACAATTTGTCAGCCCCAATCAAGATTATGTGTTATAGAGACAAAGATTGGGAAACACATATGGCGTGCCTTATCAAGTCTTGATAACTCGACTACTTTGAAGTTCCAATAGTTGTAATTGGTAGTAAGTATTTATTTGTTAAAGTCATATTTAGCTTGTTCGCCACAATGAAGGTCAAAATAACCAAAAATTTTTTTTTATCCTTATAAAAATTTTTGAAAATCCCGAATCTATACAGGAGGGTATAGATTTGAATAAAATAGTGGAAGCAAACTTAAAATTAATTTTTACATAACTTTTTTTTTGTTTACATAAATAGTAATTCTCATTTATCTTTACTTTTTATTGTAGAAATTATGAATACCTCATATTATTCTCAACATATTTAATATTTCCAATCACTTGGATTGGCAAAGAGAATTGAGAAACGTTCTCAAGCAAATTTGGTTTTATTGTTTTTAAAATGTTGCTACTTCCAATCCTAGAAGATAAAATGGAATTAATAATAAATGCTTATAGTAAGCATTTAAAAGAAAATGACAGTGTATGTTAGTAGCTTCCAAATCTCCTTTGGTTTTTTTTTAAAACATTGCTGCTTCCAATCATAGAAGATAAAATGGAATTAATAATAAATACTTATAGTAAGCATTTAAAAAAAAGGACAGGGTGTATGTTAGTAGCTTCCAAATCTCCTATGCTATAAAGATTTTATTTTCTTTCTTCGTGATTAGACATTTCAAAAGTTGATTGATGCATAATCAAAGGTTTAAAATATATGAAATCTTTAAATAATAGACCTACTACAAAATATAAAAAGGTCTCTAAATAAATATTGATTTACTATAGATAGATCTACTATATTTAAAAATTAGCTTAATTGAGTTTTGTCATGGATTGTAAATCAAGAGTTGACTGAAGGAGATCACTAATCACGAGTTGATAAAGTGAAGTATCAAGAGTTGATAAGTCAGAAGGTTTTAAATGACAAACCTTATGGCATAAACTCTCATTGCTGGAAATTACAACTTGAATTAAATAAAATGTCAATTTGTGAATATTTATATTTTTAAGTTAAAATTTATAATTTAAAATGTCAACTTGAATTTATGTTTTTGAGTTAAATTTAGATTAACTAGAATATTTACTTTTAAGTTAAGCTCATCTGGTATAAGATACCAGATATTCAATATACTTGTACTTAAAAGAAATAAATTGTAAAAAAGGATGATAAGTATCTACTATTATGAGGTAAAAGTTGCATCTTTAACATGTAGCAACAAATTATCTTTGTTCATCTATTGGACTTATTTTAGAACTAAATAAGAGTTATTATTTTCTAAAATCAAAGAAAGTCTACTTTTCAATATAATGCTAGATGACTTGAAACAATCTTATCTTTGGCATTTATAAATTTCATCTTGTGAATGAGAAACACATTTTCAAATCACACGACGATG